GAGATCATTGGGGTCGATGCTCGCCCCGCTGTGACCGTTGCTAAACTGATTAAAACCGTGTTGGGCCATTGTGACGGAGATGGCGATTGCGAGTTTGTCGTGTCGAGGATGTAGAGTCAGATGTTGATACCCTAGCCGAAGGAGGGATGTGGGCGAAATATTGTGGGCGTCCACTAGTTCGGTTAAAGGTGATGGTACGTTCAGAATCTGGATATCAAGCTAGAACTGGCCTGTTGAGGGTTCGAGTCAGTATCTTGTCAGAACAATACGGAATACAGAGCGGGGGAGTAGTAAGGGTGACCGGCCCGGCGATGGGGAGCGGCATCCATATATGGATGGAGTGCCCACCGCCGCGGAGGTTACACTGATGAAGAAGAGTGGCAGGCGGAGAGCCGGGGGTTTAAGGCTTGCAGACCTGACTCACCAGATAGGCAGAGAGTGTTGGTTGTGGGGAGCAAACAGAGCAGAGGGAGATGGGACAAGCACTATTTGCAGTCCATGAACGGATCGCCGGTGCCGAGTAGGTAAGTGGGTGCTCAAACGCGACGACTGAGCGGCTGGTCGGATATGTGGAAGCCAAAAGAAGATTGAATTGTAGGGGAGATAGATAGCAGTTGTGAGTCGGAGGGAGAAGTTCGGAATCGGAGGGGGTTGAAATGGCGGGCACCGAGTGCGCAGCGCAGGGCTTCCAGGTAGATAGATACCTATGGTAGTAGGTAAGGTACCTTGAAGGGGTTAAGCGTTGAGGGTATTTCCTGGGCGTGTAGGTACTCCAGGTCAAAAGAGCAGAGTATGGTCTTGGGCGCTCGGGCTGGAGTACTTGGTAACGCACGGGCGAAAAGGTCCAGTTATCTTCAGGCGCGTACTAGCCCCAGTCCAGTACTATGAGCAGTAGTCTGGAGATGCTGTCCTTTACAACGTGCAGTGCGGGGGTCACGGCGGTCGGAGCAGCGGTCGAGGGGTTCTGATTCCTGTTCTTTGTCCTTGTCTGAGTCGTAACTTGAAACGTGTACTCGGTCGAGGTAGGCGGTGAATAGATCTTTTCAAGGTTGCAGTGGCTGTTCTTGGAATGGTGAAATGACCAGTCAGCAATGTAATTCTCAAACACGGTTGTCTGAGTCGTGGTATGAGAGATGATGATGATGGTGCTTTTGGTTCTGGGGCACGAGAGTGTAGAAGGCGATATGTGTGGGTGCCACCCGAATAAGAAAGAGGGGGGCCACTAGGCTAGTAGGCAGGCCACTGGGTGTCCCTTGTACCCTCACAGCTACTAAGCTTGCCAGGGAAAGGTTCCCAATAACGAAGCGCACCTCGATTTGGGGGCTTCGTAAAGCTCATGATAAAACAAAAGGAGGCAAATCGAAACGCTCGTTCGCAAAAATAAGATGAAAATTAACGAAAGAAATGAGAAGGGCAGGAAATGTGAGCGAACAAAACAATACAGCAAACATTTTGCGGGACAAAGAAGCAACCAAACAAGGGAGGGGCTTAGGCAATGATGGAAGGCTATGATGCGTCGTACATACTGCCATAAAAGGCCCAACGGTTGGTGGGAATTTCTCTGGGCAAAAGGAACTGGGTCCAGAGACAGATATGGTATATAATGCATGCCGATAAAAAGACAGGCAGGGCAAGAGAGGGGAAACTGAAGAGGGTTTGGTTTTTGTTTTGTTTTGACTCACCAGAAATACTAAAAGCACTGTGATGCGCAGAAGGCATGGAAACAGGCGCTTTGGCACTTGTATTGATGTGATATTATAGAGCTGGTGAAGGCTATTGTTGGTTTGAGAAGATTATCTGCCTTGCAAGAATGTCTACTAAGTTCTGTAGTAGTCGAGTAGAACGGACACGGCTGGATAAAGTACCCGGATTGTATTGTATTTGAAGAGCGTATGAGAGGCAGTTTAGCCAGGTCTCGTATCGTTCACGCTGAGCTGAACTGTACTGCTGTGGTTGAGGAGGGTGAGTCCTAATCAGGAAATAGGGTAATGGCGGGGCTCCAAAATGCAGGGTTCAGGTCCGCAAGGCACGGTGATGTCGTTCCTCGGAATGATGTGATCGAGGCTCCAAAAGAGAAGAAAGAGGCAGAGAGGACAGATCTTGTTGCGCCCACGGTGGTTTACTTGCGAGTATTGGAAGTAAAAAAAAAAGTCCGGGCAATAATGCTTCTCGATGGGGGCACGTCTCAATTTATCAAAACGATCTGATGTCCAGGGTTTGCTTTGTAGACCTCCACTGTGACAGGTATGGCGTAAGACTGGCGGCAGGATCGGATAGTTTGGAATGATGAGATAGGTCAGGCAAGACGGGCGTCCTCAATTTATCGGACCAAGGTTGGCGGTCTGAGGTTTTATTGTACTTCTGGCGCCGCCCAAGTGAACTGGAGGGGCCTAGAGCACAAGGACAGGTGATAGATGGTCTAGGGCAGAAATGAGAAGGGTGGTGGTGGAAGTAATTCAAACCACTTAATGGTGACGATAAGTCGGTCAAGGGTCTAACACAATAAACGCTCGGCCGTGGCTGAAGGGGGGTTGATTAAATCCGATACGAACAAGGCTCATACACCAATGTAAGGGTCTCCCGTCTTTCTCAGTGGTTACTCTCACGAACGTGGTAGGTATGAATGACGATCAAATGGTAAGAGGAGCTTCGGTTCGTAAGGTAGGTAGATTGATAATGTTTCTTCTTGTTCTGTTCTTAGCCTCGCTCTTTATATCACAATGACCTTTCTCGTCCCTTTCTTCGTCCCCTTTGGCTATGCTTACTCCTTCAAATGTCCGCTTCGATTGTGAGTGAATACAGGTCCAGTTGGTGATGACTATAAAGGCCAGGTCAAAGAATAAGGTCCTTTTCTATCACGGCTGCAAGATCTATCTTCGATCGTTTGACGCATGCTAACGGGCACAAAGATCCTCTAATTTATACTTCCAAGAACGAGCTAAAGAATACTAGCCATGGCCATCAAGTCAGATGTACAACTTCCATCGTCCTTGCCCCGCCTGACACCAAGTATTTCGGACAAAACATGGAGGCGGCGGTCACTGGTCCCCTTGAAGTTGTGTGGAAACTGGGCTTAGACTTGGACAGAAATCGAGGAAGTTGGCGGTAATGGTGGCCGCTGTGGTCTTTTGCTATCTCCGGTTTGTTTTGCAGTGCGTACAGTAGCCTCGATAACTGATAGTCAAGGGAGGAGGGTGTGGATGTTGCTGTGTGGGTGGGCGCCACGCTGAACGTGACTTGAGGTTTAAGACACCAAGTCCAAGTCTCCGTTTGGACTCGAAGGGCTGATCGGAAATTGCTACATGCAATCGACTATCTCGTCCTAGCTTCCTCCTCCTGCCCTCGGTCATGCGCTGAAAGTTTTCCCATCTTTCTTGCTCTTCCCTGTCCACGCGCCCAAGCTACAGACCACCACCTTGTTGCAGAATATCTCGACACGGCTGTGTCTCATAAAATCCTATATACGGAGTGTTTCGGCGTCAGTGAGAATCAACCTTCGTCAGCCTGACGAGACTCTGACTCTGATGCCAGTGTGCCGGTGTGAGGCTGGGCTGCTCCGTTGTGAGGATGCGGCATAATGTTGGATTCCACTGTGCTTTGCTTCTCATCTCATCATTGATGGAGGGTGTATGTCAGATTATCCTCGCGGTTTCCCGACTTACCTAGTTCCCTACGGATCGTGTCCGGCCCTCTACGGTCCGCTCCTCAAGTGGTTAACATCAGGTAGGATGGAACCCGCTCAAGGCCTCTCCCGCCTGTACCCCGTCCTTGGAGAAGGGACATGCCGGACACTGTTCCTGCGTGAAACCCCCAGTGGTACATAATGTCAATATGGTAACGCCGCATAATATGTGATATGGCTCCTTAGCACTTGGGTAGGTAGTGGTTGATCAGCCTCGAGGTCCTGAAACCTTCTTGTCCCACCTCAGGGTCTGGTCCTGCAAGGCTCTGAACTCAGCTCAGCTCCGAAACAGCCCTGAGCTATCTACCAAGGTACATAGGTCCTTTAAGCTAGGCACTGTACATACAAGCTATGACTCCCTGGCGATATGCCATGCTTCTCTGTCATGCATGATCCCTCCCGTCCCCGCTGAGGCTTCTTCCATCGATCAAGGACGGGCCGTGCTGGGAAAGGTGAGCCACAGACCAAAGGTGGCACCAGACCTACCCAACCTAGTGGCCCCTCTAAATAAGCCAATCATATAATCTCCTCATCTATCCAACTTCTAAGAGGACGACGACAACAGGCAAGGCTTGGAATTGATGTGATTCAATCCAAGGAAGGAACCACACACCCAACCCCAACCCATCAACTTCCTGGCTTAGTGCCGCCCTCCACTATCAACGACCAACTTCACTCCTCTCCAACGCCCCAGCTGCACCCGTTTTGTTCTCTTTCTCGCACGAAATACTCCGCTTGTTTCGTCGCATATTTGTCGTTGTTCTTATCGGCTAACTTACTGGCCGCCTTGCTCATACCTCGTACCGCCATTTTCCAGCGGCACGCGCGGTTGCCAGATTGCAACTACTAAGTTGCGACTGCAACTGAATCTGCACCCCCTTAGGTTGGCTCCAAGCCCCCGACGACTCGTAGCCCTTCGTTTCTACATCGCTGTTTTGCGCAAGACAGCGTCGTCAGCGCCCAGTTCACGTTCCGTAAGTAACAGATAGCGGTAGGCAACCGTTTTGCCTGCTCCGATTACTTTAGCTTTGCCTCTCTATATTATCAGCACCTGTCGACTGACCGTGATAACCACCATGCCAGACCTTCCAGGGAAGTGGAGGTCACTCTTCCAAGTTCTACACCTAGGTCGACACGAAGCCCCCATTGCTAGCTGCTCTGCGACCCTCCCACCCTTATCGTTACCACGAGCTCGAGCCCGAATCTGAATCTCAGCCCGAACCTGACCCTGCGCCGCACGATCGACGTATCCGCTCCGTCCCTGTCCTGTCGTTGTCCAACCCGTCCCTCACGTTCCCGCCCCTCTGGATCTACCACCATGGCTTCTTCTTCCTTCCGAGACTCTATAAACTCCCTTGGCTGGAGTCGTCGCGATGAGCCTGTCAACACTTCGCAGCAAAGCGGCTTGCTCTCTTCCATACAGAGTTTGAACCCCTTCCAAGGAAGTAGTGGTTATGTTCGACTTCCCACTACCGAGAGTGCCGGCGCGCCTCTGCCTGCGCCCAGCCGACGCGAAGAGGAGGAGGGCTGGTTTGTTCGTAAGTCAACCTTGAAATACCATCTCACATTCACCTATGGCATTTCAGCACCCCTGCAGCGGGACATGTGCATTGCATCTGAGCCATGTCCTGAATATGCATGTGATACAAGGTGACATGCCTTGTGGTTAAGAGACACTAACCCGACTGGCAGTTAGCCGATGGGATCGATTGTTGATCTTTGGAGCTTGCAACCTCGCTGCTGTGGCATGTTTCGTCATCTGCTTCACTCTATTCCCTGTCCTCTCATTGAGACCACGCAAGTTTGCCATCTTGTAAGTTGAGGGCTTCTGCATCATCCCTTGTTCTCCCTGCCGATCGCTGTCACGCGGCCATACTACTGCCAGGCCGTTTTGATTGTGTGACTTGTTTTGCCCATGCTGTGATGTCGTAGATCCGACATGGTGAATTTTGAAATCGCATAGAAGCTGACGTGGGGCTACGCAGATGGTCCGTGGGATCTCTCATGTTTCTGGCGTCGTTTGCCGCTGTGATGGGCCCTATGAACTACGTCTATCATCTTCTTTCGACCCCTCGACTACCGTTCACAGCGGCCTATTTCGGTTCCATCATATTAACACTTGTGTTTGCTTTGAAAGTGAGTTCAGAATTGTCTCGTAGTCCCATGCATACTGACAGCCCGACAGCTTCATAGCACGCTTCTCACCTTGTTTTCTGCCCTCATCCAACTTGCATGCTTGATCTGGTACTTGATCAGTTACTTCCCTATGGGATCTACTGGTTTGCGTTTCGCTACATCATTTGGAGCGAGACAGGCAACAGCCTGGATGACCGGGTAGAGAGTGTCTTTGGCTTTGGAGAGTGTCTCAGACTACATTTTCTTTGAACTCACTTGTTCTCGTAATGCTTTCCTTTTCACTGTATGTCTGTTGCGTATCTTGTATAATACTAGCAATGAGTGGCATAAAAGTAGATTGCTTTTTGCAAGGAAACTTGTCGTCTTTGAATAATGGGAAGTATCATGTACACTATCAAGCGCTCCTCGCTCGAATTAAAGCTTAGGGACCTCATTTCTTGACTCCTCTAGCAGCATACTAAGTGTGGTATCTTATGTACATGGAGCAGAAATACTTGGCCACTATAATTGAGCCAAGATAGGTAGTTTGAATAGCAGTCAGATTGTTACTGAAGTCTGATACATGATTTATCTCCAGCCATCCTGCACTAAATAAGATAAGATAAGATAAGAACTACAGATTCTATCATCCCAAAGCGGTAGGCCAGCATGTGCCGTGCCCAATGAGCGAACGGTGGCTTCGGCTGATAACCTCGGAACGCCTAGGCAAGGTAAGGTATATTTGCGATGACAGGCTCATGATGGCGGCCAAATTGAAAGTATTCTTTTCAAAGCGTATGTTTGGCTCCCATTGACTCCACTGGTCAAAGATAGGTATTTCAGTTTGTTATGAAGCTTCAAGAGCCTTGCTGGGAACCGGCCAACGTAGTATGTATTAAAGCTTCTGTTTCAGTGGTAAAGGTATGAAGCAAAGCGCCTACAGAAACAATGCCACCGCAGATTTACGTTAGGCTGGAAAACAACTCATCAACGGACTTGACGCATTGCAGTTGCTTTCATACGGAACACAAAAAGACTGTTGAACCGAGAAACATATGGTGCTCTCCATTAGCCATAATCGTGGCATTGGTATCATTTGGGCTGTGGGTTGCTGTGCCCTCTTTTGGGGCACGTAATAGATCGATACATGCCTACCAACTAACCCGTATCACATTAATCAGTCCTGTCCCAAATTTTTTGGAACTGGAATTGCTGATCCACCTGACTATTTGCCTGACATATTTGACATACCTACCTAGGCAGATACAGTAGGTACCACCTAAGCAATGTTACAGTAATTATTACTACCTGCCTACTAAGGTAGTTAGCAAGGGAACCCAGATCTGATGATGGGTTCGATGCTTGTTGTTGCTGTTGTAAAGGGCGGAGCGCGTGTTTGGTTTTTTGGGGTTTTTTCTTCCTTTTAACACAACCAAGAACCCACTCGTGGTTGAATAGCTTGCCACAAGACAAAAAAAATCATTAAACTGAAAGAAAGCTTAAGAACGTAATGGACTGCCATTGATTGGGCATTTGTGCCCCAACAGGCATAGCCTTTCATATGTATGTACTATACTGGGCACCCCCATTTACTGACTTCCAGGTCAACTACATGGATCAGGCTTTATCGGGAGTATGAAGGAATTTTGTTGTCCAGAAATTCGTGCCTGAAATGTCTGGATTGCAGTGCACAAAATACGCAATAATTGACTACAAGTATCTATGTTGTGTATCCATGTCACCTCGACGTAGATGGAGTTTGCTGACTATGCCTGTATTTCTGGTTGTCAATTTAGGAGGAATATGATACTCCAAACTTATGTTGGCAAGGTCGCAGTAACCTCAGTAGGGTGCTTGGGAAAAGCCGATTTATATTCGCGCATCTCCACCCTATCACAGTCGTTCGGGTTCGGTTGACTGATGGATGGCCTTGCTCCAGGATTGTTGGATTCATGATGGCTCCTTACTGTGAGCAAGTGTATGTGGGGCTCGGTTAACTGTACCATAATAAAGTTGCTTATTATCTGCGAATTGCCCTGATGGAATCGCCCACTCAAGACCTTACCTGAATGCTTACTCTGTAAATTCATCCGTACTTGTACTTAACTACCTAGGTACATTTAGTAGTTGGCTTGTTACTTGCAACTTATTGGGATTTCCAGACTTTGAGTTAGAGGCAGGGTGGCGCTCTGCCTTTGGGAACTCTTACGAAATCGCACTTCATCTGTATTGTATGTAACTCGACACAAGGTTACAATGACTACAGCGATTGAGTACTAAGGTACTTACCTACTTGGTACCTAGGTAATTGCAGTCCAGCATGGACCTGCAGGCTCTGCTGTGCATCAATCATCTGCATCTGAGAAATGGATGAGGACTACGTAATTTGGTCTAGATTGTCATATCCAGCAAAATAAAAATTGCTAAAATTGTTAATAAAGCTTATCAGAAAGTAAGAAAGATCTCGACATGACTGTGCGAGGATATTTCAGAAAGGCAAAAAAAGAATGCCAGTATTAAATTGGAGTGGGAAGGAAGGCCATCTATCTGTCCTTCCTTCCTTCCTTCCTTCCTTCATTCATTCCATCATCTGGTTCTACATGGGCAGTGACCAAAGATCCCACTCGGCGCATCGGTACCTTCTCGATCAGTTAACCGCAGTACATTTGTGTGGTACCTTCCGCCTGCGGATCAGAACAAGAACCCACGTTAGAACTGAACTAGAGCCTACCCGCGCTGCAAGTGTGAGAGGGGGAAACCAACGCATGAGGAAAAAATTTATTGTTCACACAACGCAAAAAATAACCTCCGGCGTACTTTTTCTCTTTCTCTGCCTGGTCTCCGTACGCCCTCTTCCTAAACCACACCTTTCTCTCCAGCCCAATTTGTTTCAAGGGAATTGCAGCTGGGATTCCGTTACCTTGTTTTTACGGTTTACCTACCTCTACGCTTACCCGATTCCTCTCTTCCTCTTTGGTCATCAATACATTCATCATAACCACCCCGCCTCGCCTGCCTGGTATTTTTGGGCTTTCTCCTGGTACCCTCGTGACGGACGAGAAATCGCAACGTAACGAGCAAATACTCCCAGCTTCGATCGGGCTTTATTAGCCTTTGATAACTGGTGCCCGATTTGTCCCATCAAGCCTACTCTCACGAGTTTTGTATTCGACACAAGAAGCACGACAAGATCGGAATAGCAAAGCCTGTGCTTTCTCACTCTTCCTCCTTCGTCGAAACACCGCCGCCTACTTCTTCAGGCCTCCAATCCCAGTCAAGCAAACACTTTTCAATATTACAAAATTGTTTGCTTCTCCCATCTAGAGGATCTCAATCACCACACACCCAGCGTCCGCGCACAATCCGATTTAGCCGTTGTTCTGTTAGGTCTGACTCTCGACTTAACCGATCCTTCAATCCCAATCTTGAAAATCATTTCTTCGATTTGCATCTCTCGATATTTGACTTTTCTTGAGGTTTCGCGACGACCGACACCCTTATAAGTTGGGGGCATACGAACACGACTGCATTGCACACGGCTGCTTTGTGCCTCTCCCAGCATCTGGAGGGGGTTGAGACATTCTGAGATTTTTTATCTCTATAAATATTTCATTCTACTTCCCACCGATCCCAGGTGAACTCAGCACCTTCTATTTACTCTTACCATCTGGTTCACGACGACAAGCCTCTGCAACACGGCTCACCTTGAAATGAGTCCCTCAGCTATCGTTGAGACCAACGACATGGCCGCTCAATCAACCTTTTCCTACGCACAGGCTGCGAAGGGCAAGGGCACTGCCCCTGCTTCAAATGACGCTACTTCCACTGACGCAGTTGCTCCCATCCAAGATGATCAGGCTCCTGCAGCTGATACTGACACTGCCGCTCCCGTAGGGGACGCACAAACGGACGTACCGTTGGCTGAGCAGGTAAATTCCGAAGCTCCCGAAAACGTTGAGCCTCAGACTGCAGTGGCAGAAAAACATGATACCGAGAGTGTTCCTGGATCTGAGAGCGATGCCCGCTCCGAGTCTACACAAAGCAGACAAACCGAGTCAAGGCGTGAGGATGACACTGGGAGGTTGGATCGTCCCTGGCGACGCAACGAGAAAACACCAAGGTCACCAAGCAATACTACAAGGTCTGTCGACGAGCAGGACTCCCGAAAGGCCAGGCGAAGTAAGAAGGGCAAGGCCTCCGAGAAGCAAGCTGGCGAACAAGCGACAGACAAGGAACAGGAGACGGCACCCGAGCCACCAAAGGTTGAACTTGCTGAAGCGCCCATTCCTAGCGTCAACATTTGGCACAAGCGAAAGGAGGCCCGTCAGGCAAAGTCCACCAAGTCTGCCCCCACACCTGCGGAGGTTACAACGAACGGTACTTCAAGTCAGAAGGACGAGAAGAAGACGGAAGTGTCTCCTGCACCTCTCACAAACGGCATCAAGTCCCATCAAAGACAGGCCAGCAATGTCCGAGCAGAGCGAAATGGTCCTCGGGGCTCGCGAATGAATGAAAAGGATGGCAAGAGCGAAGTCCCCCCATCTGTCGATGACTCTACAGCATGGCCTACTCCCGAGACAGCTATATCTGCCATTAAGGAGGATAGCAAGAAGAAGGCCGCCGACAAGACGCCTGAGAGATCCGACCGCTCTGATAAGGACAGCCAAGAGGACGGTAGCTCGTCGAAAGCTCGTCGATGGGTCAGTATCAACTACGTTCCCACAGTCAACTTCGAGACTCAGCTTCCTCAAATTCGTAACTCTAAGCCTCGTGGTGGTGCTCGTGGTAGTCGCGATACTACCAGCCGAGCCGCAATCAACGGCGCTGCTGAGAAATTGGCATCTGCCTCCCCTGCGAACAGGGCCAGCGATAACAAGGCCCGCGACGCCTCTAACAATGCCACATCACAGTCAAGCACCAAGCGTGGATCTGTCGATATTGCCAATGGTCAGAAGAAGGCTTCGACCAACGTAGGCTTTGATAAGGCCAAGGATACTTCTGCTCAAACTTCGGTAAGTAACGTGCATCGAGAAATAAAATTCATATCTTTACTCTGTCTACAGTATACTAATGATTTTCTTACACAGGAAGCTCCCCAAACTTCCCGCGATCGTCCTGAAGGCCGTGGTGAACGAGGTCGGGGCGGCTACCGTGGACGTGCTCATCACGGCCATTCCCAGTCCCAGCATGCTATTTCTGGATCTGGGTATCACGGCCAAGGTGCTAGTGCTTCCCGAACCCAAGGCTACAGTCCTCCTATGCGACAAGGTGGCCATGGTGGCGCCTTCGCGTCTTCTTCTCAGCGAGGTCGCGGTCGCAATGGCGCTAACAACTTCCACCGTATGTCTGCGCCCAGCGGTGGTAACCGCATGCCTGTCGTACAGCCTCAGTTCACTCCCATCGAGTATTCGATGGGTATGCCTTTGGATGCAGCTCTCCTGCAAAACCAGTTCGGCCATCTTCTTTTGCACTCGCTAAAGACTCAAGTCGAATACTACTTCTCTATCGAGAACCTTATCAGGGATACCTTTCTCCGGCGGCATATGGACTCACATGGCTATGTCTCACTACACTTCGTCCTTTCATTCAGACGCTTACAAGAAATGGCTGAGGATATCAACCTCGTCCGGGCTGCTTGCGAGGATTCAACTGAGATTGACTACGCCGTTGCAGACGATGGTATTGAACTTCTTCGTCGTCGAGATGGCTGGGAAAAATTTGTTTTGCCAATCAACGATCGAGATGAAATGGCCCGTAGGGAAGGCCCTTCCCATGTTACTTTCAAGAACAGGCACTACAACTTTGCCAATGGCCAGTACAATGCTGCCGTTCACATGCCATACGGTACACCCATGTATCATCACGACCCTTCTCTCCAGCACTTCCTGCCTCGTGACGTCAACGGAGATGCCCCCGTCGGTGCCAGCCAGCTTTCAGCTGCAGTCCCAGATTTCTCACCTTCCGGAACAGTTCCTCTCGTTGGCCCCGATGGTCAAACCCAGGTTACCAGCGTTGAAGCTCTCACCAACGGCCATGCTGAGAATCCTACCCCACTTGCCAACGGTGTGCATGCTGAGGCATCTCAGGTCACTGAGTCTTGACCTTCTTTGCAAAATAGAGACGTCGCTTACGATGGGGATACGGGGCCTGCATTTCCCTGTGATGTAGTATGAGGCATATCCCAGAGAGTTTTCCCCACACCTTGATCTGGGTCGATACGAATTTACGCGTCCCAGATTTTAAAATGTTTTTTATGATTTCATTTTTTTTTCGCTTCCAACCCATCATTGGCCACGACGCTCTGTCGATTGCGTTTGGGTTTTTTTGTTTGTTCTTTTTTGGGAGGGGGTTCACGAGCCCAGAGCAGCCTGGTTGTATCTATTACTTGACGGGGTCTTCTACCAGGTGTGGCCCTCGACTACAATAAAACATGCAGCGATTGTGTTGATGGGTCTTGAGGTGGTTCATGATTTACCAAGCCATGGTCACAGGGGCACCGAAACACAGAAATGGCCACAATTGAGTTTTCCTATGCAACGAACGGAAAGAGAGGGAGGCGAGGATACGATCCAGATATTTGATACCCTGCTGAGCGATGCAAAAGTTGATTGCTAGCATGCCTGAGGAGGGTCTATATGGGCGACACATGGTTGTATCAAAAGCCTGTTTTATTGATTTCTAGTGGCGTACTCCAGGGAAGGTATTTTGTTGATTGCGAGGGCGTCGGCGACGTATTGGAAACGGCATGCCACGAGATGCCCACACCATCAAATTTGACCAAGCCTAGCGGGTTGCTGGACGGTTGCAAACACCGAGCAACAGGGATTGCAATCGATGGTTGAATCAGGGTATGTTGAAGGCGAGCAGATTCGAAGCTTCCGGAATCAGATGTGAGAGAAAAGCAGATGCACATGGTATGAACATCGGTACAGGGACGTGTTTGGTTCTCGTTTTTTTTTTCACTCTCTCCACTGCATTTGAAGGGGTTCTGGGATGGTTTTGCTACAATTTCGGTGTTGAATCTTTCTTTTCTTTTCTTTCTCACTGAGGATCTGATGCTAGAGGACCTTCTCAAATTTTGCTAAAAAAAAAAAACATACACGGAGTTTTGCTATCATTTTAAAAATGTACAATAGTTTCAATTTCACAAAAAAAAAAACTTGTTAAAAAAATACAAGCTACTCTCTCACGTTTAACTCTGTTCTATGATATTACACAAGGGTTAGGGGGGATGTAATTTGGTATTGATATCCTGTGTCTCAAATGTAAGTAATTATTGCTTGTTGGATATGCTATAGATGTTTTTCTGTTAGCTGAGTTTAATTGGACTCGAGGTAAATTGTAATATAACCCTAAGTATATTTATCTGTCATGACAATTATCCATCATGTTAGCGGGGTTAAATTGAGGGGTTTTGCACCTAGCTATAGGGTAATTTAGCTAATTATAATTATTTGTCCTTTTCTTCATAAGAGTTAATTAAATTTATAAGGTTTAATTAATATAAAGAGGAAGTTTTTAATTATTATTATATATAAATGTAAAGAGATATATAGGCCCCTTAAGACCTTGAATAAGGGCGACGGCTGTTATATCAAGAACGCCAAATATGGAGTCTTCAGCAATAACAATCGCAAGAAGGTGCGGCGGTGGCTTTTTTGGCAGACATACACTGATCTACTTCCTGCCATGGCCTATCAGGCTTGTCACAAAGAATAGGCAAAGCAGATTAGACAAGAATATCAGTTTATTAGGCTAAGAATCTACTAAAGCCAATCGAATACTATCCAGCTACCTTACTGACGAAATAAAGTCAGTCACTTTAGATGCTTGGGCTCCTTATCTTCTGTATCCTAAGCTTGGGTTTTCTCCCCCCCCACCCGCCATGAGCGACCTTTATACATATTCAGTCTCTTGTTGCGACTGTACAATTTGCGGCATCAAGCTCGATGAAGTCGACCCTTACGGCCTTGACGATGAAATATACGCTGAAGTATGACTTTTTCTTCATCTTAACCCACACAGATACTGCACATGTCTAACGTATCATGAGCAGTCACCGCCTCGCTGGTAGCCCGAGTTATGGAAACAGGACAATGTTGTCTTGTCGAGTTTGTGCTGCTTTAAGCGTCCAAATCCTTTCAGTACCATATCAGATGATTCCATTGGCTGCGGTCCCGTCTTTGAGGACACCAACGAGAAAGGGACACCCAGTCGAGTCGTGTTGAGGCTTGACACCGCACGTTTCGACTGGATCGAACCACAGCGCCCAAACTGGAATTCCACGTCTCGCGACATAAATCTCTACTTTATTGCACTGCATGCTCCTTGCTTGCGTATCGCTCAGCGCGCCATGCAGCTATCTCCCACTGCCCACGTTCACACACTTGGCGATCTATGGTTGACACTTGAACGACAGACTGAAAATGTCTTCCAACTTGAACAATGACAAATACCCATCCCCACGCCACTGATTCCTGCGATTCCTGAAGACCCTCCCACGCCCCGTCCGGCGACAGGACCTGTGAAGCTTGGTTTGAGCCGGTATTTTGTTGATCCAAAGCGTGTCCTCGGTGCAGTAGATGATGATGATTGGGGAGAAGACGTTCATGGCCCACCCCTTACAGACCGCTGGGTGAGTTAATACTGCCTATATACCAACGGTTGTAAATCTGATTGTTTTCTTAGTGGAACTCGGACCTAGAGCATATTCGCGACCTAACGCACAGTCTCCTTTCAAACCTCGACGAGTATGAAGCAACATCAAACCCCTTGCCTAGTTTCAAACATCATCTCGAGGCGCTGCCTCAAGAGATCAAGGAACACATACTGCAGTTTATGCCATATGATATTCCTCTGCAATGCACATACCTGTTAGATCAGTCCTACTGGTGCACTCTACTTTGGCAAATTCCGTTCCCGTGGGACCTTGACCTCGCCATGGTACACGCGAAACTCTCTGGCGATTCGTCGGATGGCCAGAAGGTTGCTAAGCAGTATGACTGGGAGAAGCCTACGCGATAAGTACTGACGCCGATGGATGTAGTCGATCCGGATGTGGTGCCACCGTTACCTAGCATATGCCGAGCTGGGTTAGTGGTTCCGTAAGGGTTGCAGAATCGGCGGCGTATCTGGCAAATCGTTGAAGAAATGCAAGTGAACGACGTCCGCATGGAAGATAAAGGACGTTAGAGGGGTAGGTGGTCATACATAATAAATTGAGATGAGATATCTCAGTTTGACCTCGAAGCACACAATCGTCAAGGATATAATTGCATGAAAGATCACTCCTGACCCAAGTTGTACGATGACACCAGCTAGGTGTAATAAGCCAAAGGCCTCCATTAATATCACGTTAGCATTCGTATTGGGCAGCTTCCGGAACAATACGAATGACTAGTTCTAATGGTCGGAATATATGCCGGCCTTTACCGAGAGAGTACAGAGCATTTCTTTTCACACTTCTTCGCCAAACCCGGGGATCGACTTGGCAAAACGCATTTATGGTGGAGAAGGAAGGTCTTTTACCTTGAATAATTGCTACACCCTTCCTACTATGTAGATTACTGTGGTTTCTACGGAGGTTCTGTCCCGGTGAGTCATGGTGAGCCCACGCTTCAAATGAAGCATCGCGATGGTGAATCGTGAGATATATTGTCTCATGCCATGGGTGTGAGGCCATCGTGAAGTACTGAACGAATCTCACATTTGTGGTTTCAAGACATTGTCAAGGCAAGTTAGAGAAGCTCTGCACACGATGTAATTCGGCTCAGTGGCTGAAATACAGGGGGGGGGGGGGGGGGGGGGGGGGGGGGGTGTGCAAAGACGAAAGTGCTACCATTTTGGGGAGAAACAAGAAGAAAAAGAGAAGAATTGAAGCCATCGTGAGGACATGGCTATCCTGTGCTACCTACCTTCTAAAGGTAGGCTGATAGATCAGCAACTGGGCATTAACAAAAGACAAAGAACGGGTAGACGGTGCCTTGCAGGAGTGTTAAAGCCGGAGCAGGGGACCCCAGAAATTACCTAGAGAGGAAACACCAGAACAAGACCTGCAGAACGAACAGACGTCTGTGCTCTCGTTGGATGTTAGATATCGAATATGGCATTACGTCAAGCGCCGATCCGGAGAGTAAAAGTTAGAGATGGCAGGAAGAAAAATCCTTATGGAAGTAGTTAAAGTGAGTCAGGTATACTTCTTCCCGTGACTATGTTCAGTACAGCGCTGGACGTTTTTGCGGGGAACAAGCTGAGAAGGGACTAAGCCAGTGTCTGGGTACGGGGAGGGAGGCTAACAATAGAAGAAGAGATTCAGAAGAAAGAGTTAAGGAAATGCACGAATGTATTTCTTTTGATAGGGAATAAACCCTCCGATTGGGACATTCTCACAAGAAGAAGGGCACAAAGGATCGGCATGTGTTGTATTGACTCGGTATGATCAGATTGACTCCATTTCCGTGTAAGTGAGTAGAAGAATCTTCATCCGCGCCCTCCAACAGAAGGGCTTCCTGTATAGAATCTTCCATAAGAATTCTACTCTAAATCTCGATATAACACGTCTGATTCGTCATTGGCAGTAGCGCCATGTCATATCCGCGTGGGTCCGGCCTTGACACTGACTAGAGAGTGACTGATCTACATACAGGGGTTGAACTCGAATGCTTCATCATCCCCGGACTTCATAGACAGATTATCGGCCTCCCCAGCTCATGATATTCAATGAAACCGTACTTACTATCAACTGTGTTACTATGGGTGCGATTATGATTATCTCATAAACTTGCCCCGTCCTTCCAAGTACAGAACTCGTCGAGTTGGCAACGGTTATTCAGCTCGATATACTATTTTGTGGACCCAGACTTAGAAAGTTTGGGGGCGAGTTTCCATATAATACTCTCGGATAGACCAACACTTGTCTGTGGGGTAAGAAACTGACAAAGCTGAATCTGGTATCCAAAACACATTCCGGAGCTTACCTCCGGCCGGTCTGGGGAAAAGGGGCCCAATGCTCACGGTAGGTATACCCTCACCTGAAGAACTTGACGTCAACTTAACACAACCAAGGTCACTATGGTGGGGATACCTCACCTCTCCTCACCTCTCCCATACACAATGGCAAAGTCAACGATTTCATCATGATGCAAAGGGTGAAGAAGCGAGAAAAAATGCATCGATATAAATATAAGACGGACGGGCTCTCGGCATTCATTACTACAGACATATCCCATCCAACTGCACTACTCGTCTCCTTCGCCATCTTACTACCCTCCAAGATCTGCGTGAACAGAACAACTCACAAATATGGCTGCTCAAATTACGAGCAGGGCCATGTCCTATATGACATTCAAGCCTGATACCAGCCACGACAGGTACGATGGCCTTTACATCAACGACCAAGGTTATGTCGACTTTTCCCCAGAAGACAAGGAGAATCCACGAAATTGGTCCAAGAAACGAAGATGGGGCATAACTTGTATCGCTGTCTTCCTTGCCATGAACGGAAACTTCGCATCAAGCATTTTCTCAGGGAGTGTCGATTCTGTTGTGGAGGAGTTTGGTGTCTCAACTGTTGCTGCAAGCTTGACGACTTCCATGTTCCTACTTGGTTTCTGTGCTGGGCCCTTTGTCTTTGCACCCCTCTCTGAGTTTTATGGTCGTCGATGGATTTTCTACATCACTTTCATCGCTTACATGGCCTTCAACTTTCTCTGCGCTTTCCCCACAAACTTCGGATCACTCCTTGTTGGGAGATTTTTGGCTGGAGTCTTCATCTCTGCCCCACTAAGCACCACCCCAGGAGTTCTGGTCGATCTCTGGGACCCTATCGAGCGAGGAAATGCTACCGGAATATTCAGTCTTGCTTCCTGGGTGGGACCTTCTTTGGGTCCTGTTGTTTCGGGCTTCGTTCAGCTGAAAAAGGACTGGCGATGGGGCATGTACTCTGTTCTATGGCTTGGAGGCGCGACGGTTTTCTTAATGTTTCTCATTCCCGAGACACACACACCTACTATTCTGGCCCAGAAGTCCAAGCGAGCTCGACAGTCTGGTATCAACGGATACGAGCACGTCGTCATGGAGGGAGAAGAGGACGCGCCTGGCCTCGCCCACGTCTACAAGCTAGCTCTTACACGACCCTGGATCCTCATGTTTGACCTGATTTCCCTCCTCTGCTCTGTCTACACTTGCATCGTCTTCACACTTCAGTTCATGCTCTTTAGCATCTACCCCATTGTTTTCAGAGACATGAGAGGATGGAATGCTGGTGTTTCGCAGCTGCCTTTGCTTGGCCAGGTTGTTGGAGCTGTACTCGGAACCATCGTCATATTCGTCGATAGCGAACGAAGACGAAGCAAAGATGCAGCAGGAAAGATTCTATTGCCTGAAGATCGACTTCTCATGGCCATGTTTGGAGGCGTTGCCTTCCCTATCACCATGTTCTGGCTTGCATGGTCAGCCAATTACAAGTAGGTTTTTCTATTATTCCTTGCTATCCTGCCTTGGATATGTAAGCAAGCGATAGCTAACAATAAGAAGCGCCGTCCCCTGGATCGTCCCAACTCTTGCGGGAACATTCCTCTCTGCCGCCCTGATGCTTGTTTATGTCGCCATAATCAACTACCTTACCGACACATATGCCTCATATGCAGCGTCAGTTATCGCCGCCAACACTGTTGCTAGATCTGCTGGTAGCGCTGCTGCTCCCCTCTTTACAACCCAGATGTTTACCGCTCTTGGTGTTGGTGGTGGAGGTTCTCTTATTGGAGGAGTCGCGACTCTACTGGCTTTTATCCCCTTCATATTCTTTTGGTATGGCGCTCGCATCCGAAAGAAGAGCAAGTACGCTCTTGTCGAACCTGACCAGATAGAGAAGCTGGACGAGGAGGCTGATCCTACCGACTACGGTGTCGAAGGCGAAGAAACTCAGCACGTGGGTGACATGGATCAACCTCAGCACAAGCGCTCTGACAGCGCATGAAGGACCAAGAGTCACCGGAAATTCACTGGACTTGTACGAATCATGGTTATTCTGGAATTGGAAATTGTATGGATGTTGTTTTGTTTTCGAAGGAGTTGTGGGTTTATTCATGTAGCACTTGTAAAGCATCCATATGAGACTTTTAGACCAGAGTGCCTAGTATTGGCACATATTCCATCTTTATGGCTTTGGCATACTATAGTATAGTATTTTACTCTATCCAAGCAATCTGTATCCTTATAAGATCACAGACCAGTGGGCAGTATGTAGTACAATTGCGAATATTATTTGCCTCCAGCTGTTCGGTATCAGGGGCACCCACTAAAACAAATACAAACTACCCGACTATTGGGTAACTACCAAAGTCATAGTGACCATAAGGCTGAAGTGTAGAGTCGGTAGCCATAGCACGATCGCCTTGTGGCCCCACCGAAACACCCTCGCTTGTCTCGCAAAGGACGTCATTATTATCACATAGTCAGACTCTGATCCAAAGACGGCATTTTCATTTCATCCTATTCGATAGACTGGTGTGGCTGCTGCTGTAAAAACGTGGCTAAGCCGGTCATGAACTATCATCAGCAGGCACCGTTTCTTGCATCACATGTTGCGAATGTCATCATGTCGAAGCTCAAGTTGGTGGCACGAAGGAAAATAGATGATTGGACGGTCTAACTTTCCGCCCGGTTTGTCTTGAGTCCCTAGTTCTCTTCTAGAAACACTTGTCACTTTTATGAAACTCGGACTAACCAACAGACAACTCATCAAAAGTGGCAAACTCGATCCCAAAACCTAGGACAAGCACCTTATCGAGGATCGTCAATATGCAGATATCCTCCCTTGTACGATGTTGCACGAACCGTGGCCTATCACTTCGGGTAACGGCCTGTGAGCCTCGTTTCAAGATGATCTTCACTAATATTTGGGAAGAGATTCGGCAAGACAAAGCTAAACTCAAAACACTACACGGAATGTCCAGTGGCTCAGTCAATTGCCAAGGTCAACTACCGCAAGAGAGCGGAGACGAGACTCTATCAACCACATCATGTTCGGTGTTGCCGGTCGTTGTTGCGAGGTTGAAGTGGAATAAATGCACGGATAGCTGTGGCGCAGCCGCTGATAAAGAGAAACGATCAAAGGTTCAAAGAAACGAAACTGGGCTGTGCTGAGTGCCCAGCTGGCTGCTGAATGCCGCGCCCAGCACGCCCAAGAGTTTCTAATGGGGCCTTGCAGGGCCGTGATCCCTGTCAAATAGCGTCAGCGTTGTGCGTCCAACGTCCAACTTCCCACGAACCCCTCTCTATTACGTCGTTGGCCTCGCCCCGCTTATACGTAACTTACTACCTCATGGAACATAGACAGACAGATATTATTGAGATACTTAAGAATGGAAGGAAAAGAAAAGTCGGCAGATACCTAACAAAAATCAGCCTGATTATCACAATAGGTAAAAAATAAGAAGTAAAAAGCAAAAAAATAAAAATAATAAAATGATGCAACCTAACTAGAGCCGCTTCCAAGGCTCTTCTTAAAAGTCAGCAGGGAAGTAACTTGTTTCTATTGCTGCCTTCCGTATGCCATTGATGCCCATCCATCCACCAAACTAAGGTAAAGCAGGTGCGGCCTTGTCCACTAACAGCCCACTTTCTGCTGTTCCCGTTCCGTCCATCCAGTCCTAGATGCTTTCCGCCCCTTGTTGCAATACCAAAGGACCCTGTTTTGCTTGCCTGGGCTTGGGCCTGCCCTTGGATGTCTGTGGCTCGGTTTCTCCTGCGAGTTGCTTTTCTTGATCTGCTCCTCCCGCCACATCCATCCTCTTTCGTTTTCTTTCTTGCATCGTCATAATCATAATCATACAACTCTACATTAACGACGTCTTCGTCACAACTATCAAATATACAACAAACATTTATTTTGCATCATCGCCAGAACATACCGACGACAAAGAAAACTACACACACCGTCCTTATGGCCAACTACGACCCGTATGATCGGGATTACTCTCGTCGCTATGTGCGAGAGGAGCGCCGAGAAGATCCCCGTTATCTCGACCCTAGAGACTCTTTCACCTCAAAGACTCACCGCGAGATTGTCCCTCGTGGGCGCGAAGATAGCGATTTGTCTATAGAAGAGGTTCGCCGTGAATTCCCCCCACCCGGCACCCGCGATATCCGTCGTGCTCGATCCGCTGGACCAAACTACTACGAAGAAGAATACGAATATCGCCGGGGATACGACCCTCGCGATCGTGATTATGACCGTCGTTCTCACCGAGGAGGGCACTCCAGCCCCTACTACGAAGATGAGGATCGCAAGCCCAAGTCTAAGGGAATGTCCAAGAACGAGAAGATCATTGCAGCCGTCGCCGGTGCTGCCCTTCTTGCTGGTGGCAAGGAGTTGTACGATCGTCGTGAAGCCAAAGAGGAGCGTACTGACATCCAACGCAACCCCCTCTCGACCGCAGCCCTGGCTGGTGTTGGCGCTCTG